TGAAAACTGACCTTTTCCAGTCCTGTGGCCACTGCTGAGTTTTCCAAATTTGCTGGCATATTGAGTGCAGCACTTTCACAGCATCATCTTTTAGGATTTGAAATAGCTCAGCTGGAATTCCATCACCTCCACTAGTTTTGTTCGTAGTGATGCTTCCTAAGGCTCACTTGACTTCACACACCAGGATGTCTGGCTCTAAGTGAGTGATCACACCATCGTGGTTATCTGGGTCATGAAGACCTTTTTTGTATAGTTCTTCTGTGTATTCTTGCCAACTCTTCCTAATATCTCCTGCTTCTCTTAGGTCCATACCATTTCTGTCCTTTATTGTGCCCATCTTTGCATGAAATTTTCCCTTTGGATCTCTAATTTTCTTTCAGAGATCTCTAGTGTTTCCCATTCTATTATTTTCCTCTATTTCTTTGCATTGATCACTGAGGAAAGCTTTCTTATCTCTCCTTGCTATTCTTTGGAACTCTGCATTCAAATGGGTACATCTTTCCTTTTCTCCTTTGCCTTTTGCTTCTCTTCTTTTCTCAGCTATTTGTAAGTCCTCCTCAGACAACCATTTTGCTTTTTAGCATTTCTTTTTCTTGAGAATGGTCTTGATCACTACCTCCTGTACAATGTCATGAACCTCCATCCATAGTTCTTCAGGCACTCTGTCTATCTGATCTAATCCCTTGAATCTATTTGTCACCTCCACTATATAATCATAAGGGATCTGATTTATATCATACCTGAATGGTCTAGTGGTTTTCCCTACTTTCTTCAATATAAGTCTGAATTTTGCAATGAGGAGTTCATGATCTGAGCCACAGTCAGCTCCCAGTCTTGTTTTTGCTGGCTGTATAGAGCATGTACAGTTAGAGATGATCACTAATTATGATTATTACTATCTTAAAACACTTTTACTGAGCATTTGCTATGTGTCAGGTACTGAGTTCTGTGGGAATCTCAGAGATGAAGAAAGTAGGATTCCTCTTTTCTCCAAAAGTTCAGAATTAAGTGGAGATATAACTAGTGCTTAGGGGCCAGTGTGAAGAACGAGGGTAAGCCTGAGGTGCTGTGAAAGCCCAGAAAAGAGGAAGCTCAGTCTGAGGACCAAGGGAAGTGGCCCCACTGCTGGGTCTTAAAGATGGAATAGACTTTAGCCACAGTGAAAAATAGAATACAGGCATCCTGACAAAAATAATAGTGTAATCAATTGAGAGCTTGGCAGGCTTTTGGATCACCTATCGTTCTAAGGTGGAGTGTGAGTGAAGGAATGGTGAAAGCTGTGGCCAGAGAAGTGAGTTGTGCATAGATCTTAAGGGGTCTGAGTGTCAGGTTGAGGAATGTGGTGTTCAGAAAATACCCCCATTGATGGATACAGGAGAAGGTGGATCAATAGACATAGAAAGAGATGGGTGGGGGCAGAGGGACACAGGAGTGGATAGATGGATGATTAGATGGATACAGATGGGGAAAGTATAGACGACTGACAGATCAGTGGAAGTGTGGGTGGAGATATAGGCGGATGGGTAGAGAATAAATGTGTGAATGAATGTTGAGAGTTACAGATGCATGGATAGATGGGAGGAGGTATACAGATAGATGGAGGCATGGGTGAATGTACAGAAGAATGAATAGATGCCTGGATGAGTAGCTAAGGCCATAGGTAAATGATTCTATGGATAATTGTTTGCAGATCTGTTAGTGGATAAATAGGCACCTGGACAGAAAAAGAGACAGATGGATGAACACATGGAAAGAGAGATCTGGAAAGATGGATGGATGGGTGCAGGAACAGACGATGCATTAGAGGGGTGGAAGGATGGAAGAGTAAGGGGATGAAAAGTTGGGGCAGATTGATGACTGCATGATGGACACCCATATGGAGGGATACACTCTGTGGATGCCCACTCCTGTCTTGGTTCTTCTTCCACTCTCAAGACCCACCTACCTTCAAAGTCCACTCGTCCATCCCCATTGAGGTCCACGTCCCGGATAATCTCTTCTATGTCTCGGTGTCCCACCTGATGACCCAGGAGTTTCCTCATGGCCTCTCGTAACTCACTGGTGCTTATCTCACCATCACCATTGGTGTCAAACTAGAGGGGGCATGAAGGAGGGAAGAGTAGCTACAACAGAAAGACTGTCAGAAGCAGATCCCAAGGTTGAACCCCATCTTCAGCATCATTGTCCCCCCCACAACCCCTTCCCCAGAGTGCCTCTCTGTCCAAGCTTCTTCCCCTGGGGTGGGATCCAGAGGTCCAGGTTCCTTTCAGGTTGGGAATTCTAACAAGTCTCCCCGCCCCTGCCTGTCCACTGTCTACCACTTACCTCTCGGAAGGCATCTCGCAGTTCCTTTACTCCAATCATATCTGCCGTCTCCGCCAGGAGTTTAGGTCCCATTAGCTCCACAAAGTCATCAAAATCCACATGGCCACCCACTGGGGACAGAGGAACAGGCTAGGTCATCCATCTAACCACCACCCACCTCCAACTAGACAGCCGACGGAGCTGCCAGCCCCCCCTGACCTGCCCAGCGACAGGCCCAGGGTAAAAGCAGAGGCCAAATGAGGACAGAGAAGTGACCATGGACAGGGGGGGTTATCACAGAACAGCTCAGAGGAGAGGCCGGGTGCTAACTAAGGGAACGAGTCAGGAACTGGACAGGGGTACAGAGGGGAGAAAGAAACATGAAGTCACAGAGATAGGAGAAGAATTTCAGAGCAGGAGAGAGACAGAGACAAACATGCAGAAAGACAGAGAGGGAAGCAGGAGTCGTGAGCGCCTGGCCCACTTGCCCACTTGCCCCCCTCTCTCCCTCACTGTGCAAGTGGAACTCACCTTCCAACCTTCAGCCAGCTTCAGCCACCTTCCAACTTCACCCAGCCTTCAGAGGGTGGAAATACAGGAGACCTGCCCCCAGGGCCTGCTCACAACACTTTCAGCCAGTGACTGAGCTTGGGGGATAAACACCCAGCCCGAGAGACAGCTCCACGGTGGGCCTTCGACACCAGCACCCTGAGCTCCATCACCCACAGTAGCAGCTCCTCAAGTGCCTTCTGCTTTGGCGCCCTGTCTTCACCCTCCCGCCTCCCTACTCTCGACCGACTCGGGCCTGCCCCTCCTAAGTAAACTCCACACTCAAACCCTTGTCTCCTGGTCTGCTCCTGGGAGAACCCAAAGTGAGACAGAGAGAAACCTAATAGTGATAGCGTCCTCTGTTCCACTCTTACTGAGTGCTAGGTATTCATTTATTGGGCTGTTTAGAATATCCTCTAGGGACTTCTTTCCTGGTGGTCCCGTGGTTGGCAGTCCCGCCGGCCAGTACAGGGGACATGATCCATGGTCTGAGAAGGTCCCACCTGCCATGGGGCAGCTGAGCCTGTGCACCGCAACTACTGAAGCTCGTGCTCTAGAGCCCACGCTCCGCAACAGGAGAAGCCGCCGCAATGAGAAGCCCGCACACTGCAACCAGGGAGCAGCCCCTGAGGACCCAACACAGCCAAAATAAAAAATAAAATATGCCCCCTAAAAAGAAACAGGCTCACAGATACAGAAAACAAACCAGCGGTCACACTGGGAAGGGGGGTTGGGGGAGGGCCAACATAGAGGCTGGGGATTAAGAGATGTCAACTACTCTGTGTAAAATAAAAAAGCCACAGGGATATATTGTACAGCATGGGGAATAGAGCCAATATTTTACAGTAACTTTAAATACAGTACAATCTATAAAAATTTTGAATCACTATGTTGTACACCTGAAACTAATATAATACTGTATATCAACCATACTTCAACTTAAAAAAAAGAAATGCCCTGAATAGGCAAATCTGCTTAGACAGAATGTAGATTAGTGGTTGCCCAGGGCTGGGGAGGGACTTGGGGGTGATGGCAAAGTGGTATAGGACTTCTTTGGTGGAGGGGGCATGAAAATATTTTAAAGTTGATCGGGGTGGTGGTTGCACAACTCTGAATATACTAAAAGCCACTGATATCTATACTTTAATTCCCCAACCAGGGATCAAACCCATGCCCCCTGCAGTGAGAACAAGGAGTCCTAACCACTAGACCACCACAAAAGTCCCTGAAGGGAATGCTTTAAGTGAGTCAACTGTATCGTATATGAATTATATCTCAATAAAGCTGCTTCCCAAAAAAATAAATGAATAAGTAACTCAAGAAAAAACAATAAATAAATAAACATACCCCCAATTGACTCCCTATTCCACCCCTCATTTTACAGGTGAAGAAACTGAGGCACAGGGAGGGTAAGTGGTTTGCCCACAGGTCACAGAGCTAGGAAGAAAGGGGAGCTCAGAACTTGAACCCAGGCAGAGGACAGCAAGGGTGAGGCCGGGGAGGGAAGGGGTGCCTGGCGGAGGGACTCACGGTTCATGTTGATCTGCTGAGACAGCTCGATGAGCTCCATCTCGGTGGGCATGTAGCCCATGGTGCGCATACAGTTACCCAGGTCCCGGCAGTTGATGTAGCCATCCTTGTCCTTGTCAAATTCTCTGAAGGCCTCCCTGAGCTCTGGGGAAGAGAAGGAAGGTGGACGTGGTGACCCACAGAGCCTCTGGGGCAGAGGCTGCCCCGAGGGGCCCATCGACTCATGCATTCCTCCAATGCCCAGCTCCCCAGAAGATGCCCGGCTCTGCACTAGGCCCTGTTCACAGGAAGCCGAGATGTCTCTGTCCCTCTTCCCACCCACCTCCCTCCCCTCATCTTCCTGGATGGCTGAGCAACACCCTCCTCTAAGAGGCCAGGTCTCACCTTCAATCTCCTCTGGCCGCAGAGATCTGTCCTAAAACAAAAGAACATGTGCCATTAGCAGCTGGGAGGGGCCCAGAAGTCATCCAGTGCCCAGCTGAGGGCCGTCCCAGTGGCAGCAGGCACTGGCTGGGAGGTGATGGGGCGGCCGCGGAGGTGTGCCTGGACCATGTCCTGGAAGGGAAGAGTGCATCCCCACCCATCTCACACACATGGGAGAGTCCAGGGAGCCAGAAGCCCCTTCCAACCTGGGCCCAGAACCTCTGCACCCCTAACCCCTTATTCCAGACACAAGCATGTGGTCAGGGAACAGAACTGATCTGGAGGCCAAAACCTGTAAATAAAATGGGATGATTGGGAGGATCCCAACAGGTAGAAGAGGGCTCTACCCAATAAAACCAAGGGCTTCCCCGGTGACTCAGCTGCTAAGGAACCCGCCTGCCAGTGCAGGGACACAAGAGACGCTGGTTCGATCCTTGGGTTGGGAAGATCCCCTGGAGAAGGAAATGGCAACCCACTCCAATATTTCTGCCTGGAAAATTCTATGGTCAGAGGAGCCTGGAGGGCTACAGTGCATGGGGTCGCACACACAATGAAACCAGGAAGAGTTGGGGAGAAGAGGTGCTGAGGGTGGGCAATGGGAGAAGCAAGAGGCTGGGGGAGAGGAAGTGGGGTCCAGACCAGTGCACGAGAGGGAGGAAGAGGAGGAGCAGAGGGAATGGAGGCAGGATTAGGACTGCGCCCTGCTTCCTGGGCACCGCCCCACCTTCTCCAGTTGGGCCCCCATCGCAGACCTTGCCCCATCACAGGACACAGCATAGGACCCTGGGGGCTGCCAGTGCCTCTGGCGGCTGTCAGGGTCCAAAGCACAAGTCTCCAGCCACAAGCAGTGCCCAGGTCTCCTTGGGGAGCCAAGGAAGCCCCAGGGCGAGGCATCCGAACAGATGGCAGAGAAGTCTCCAAAGAGCGGGCCCGGAAGGAGCAGGGGGCAGGCTCCAGCTGGTGATGTGCCAGCTGCCCCAGGCCTGCCCAGGAGGGAGACAGACTGGCATGAAATGGATGCGGTGCCCAGCTGGACATGCTTAGCAGGCTCCAAAACTGGTCCACGGGGCTCATCCTGCCCATATGTCACAACTCCCAGCCCAAAGGGGCAGGGTGTGCCCGCTCTGAGGAAGCGCACACCAGGTGTGGGTAATCCAGTCAGGGACACAGACATGTGGGCGTGCCATAGCCGTGCACACAGGCTGTTCTAGCCCACTGGGCCAGGGCAGGTGAGAGGCTGCTGCCTACCTGCTCCAAACTGGCCCCAGGGCAAGGGATCCCAGTGCCAGAAAACCCAGGAATCTTTTAGACAGGGGCTGTTGAGCAACATTCTGCAGGACCACCAGCTGCATAGGAAGGACTTGGCTCTTGGAAGGGGCTGTACATGGCAGGACCATGCTGAGAGTGTACATGAGCTTGGCACGAGTAGTCTGCAGGCTCCCAGGTCCTGCCAGCAGCATTTCAAGCTGAAGCTGTCTGTCTCTGTGAGATGACTGGAAGGACTTCCACTTAAAAAGCCTGTCGCCATGCACAGGGAGGGGTTGTCACTCCCTCTAACACCTACCTATTCCTACCTCTATCACCCACTAGCTGTTCTTAGTCAGACTGGGATCTTGAGTGACCACAAAGGGTGCTTTTCACAATGCCTGGTACCCCCCATAAGTGAAAGCGTCAGCGAGAATATGCATGTACACACACATGCAAGGTATGCTCGCTGGGCCAGGCGACAAGTCCCTTCCCACCCTGCAGCCTCTCACATCTCCAGGATCAGCTCTGCAGCCCCTTCCCTGCTTCTTGTAAACCCAGAGCCAGGGTGCAGGAAAGCCAGTACCCCTTGGCCATGTGCCTGTGGCCAGAGCTGGTCCGGCTATGTCCTGGTAGCTGGTCCCTGAGTCACATGCTCCCCAGGGCAGGGTGGTGGGGGATGTGGAGCAGGGTCAGGGATGCTCACCAACATGGCAGGGAAACCATGAACACTGGTTCGGAGGGTCAGGTGGCAACGGAGCCCACCACAGTCCTCACTCCCCAACTTATGCAGTAAAGGGATGAGTTTGGCCTCTAAAGTCAGATAGACTCAAGGACAAAGCCCAGATCTGCTGCTTCCTAGATGTAGGACCTTGGACAGGTCACTTCCACTGTATGAGCCACAGATTCCTCATCTGTAAAATGGGTTAATACCAGAAACCACTTTACAGGGTCTTTGTGAGCACCTGTGAGGCAAGATATGTAAAGTGTTTAGCAGGTGGCATTCAATAAACCCTGGAGAAGGAAATGACAACCCACTCCAGCACTTCAGTATTCTTCCCTGGGAAATCCCATGGACTGAACAGAGGAGCCTGGCAGGCTACAGTCCATCGGGTCGCAGGAGTTGGACACAACTTAGCAACTCAACCACCACCATTCGATAAACCTACCGATGTTTGAATCTGTAACATCATCAATACCCTCCTCTCTGTGACTGTTCAGATATGTATGAGAGGCCCTCCAAAGCAGTGGGCACATGTGACTATTTAAATTGGAATTGGAATCAAAGAAAATTAATAATCCACTTCTTCAGTTGCACTAGCCACACTTCAAGGGCTAGTGGTTAATGTAGAGGGCTGTGCTGATTGGAGAAATGTTTCTATCATCATTGAAAGTTCTAGTGGACAGTGCCGTGTATTCGGTAGTGTTGTTCAGAACACAGGGGACCCTTGAGTCAGGCTCCCTGAGTCTGAATCCTACTGCTATTGCCTACCAGCTGTTACCTTGAGCATGTTACTCTCTCCAACTCAATTTCTTCATCTGCAAATGGGGAGGATAATAGTACCTACCTCTTGGGGTTGCTCTGAGGCTTAAGCACCAAAGCACTGAGCACAGTGCCTGGCACATATTAAGTGCTCAAAACAAAACAAAACAAAACAAACCCAAACCCCAAACAATATTAGAGCTGCTATTATTATTTTTTTGGCTGGTGGATGTGGACGCACCAGGGCTATGCAGCCATAAGTGGGAAACTCTGGGGGTCAGGTTCACAAGTTGAGGGTGTGAGGTGCGTCTGCTGGGGGATGCACACCACCGTGTACAGAGCCCCTCTTCTTCCCAGCACCTTCTTTCTCATGCCCCGTGAAGCCAAGTCGAACGCGGCTCCACCGGGGCCAACTTACGTACAGGCTGCCTGTTCTCCGCGAAGCCCTTACGCAGGAAGATGCAGGCCGGGCCCAGCAGGTTGTGCATGACCGCGCAGTTCTGAGCCAGCATCAGGAGCGGTCCGGGGAGCTCGTTGCTGGCTGCCAGCCCCTCCTCGCTCGTCTGCACCACTGTGTAGCTGGTCTCCTCCTGGCGCATCTTCAGCCAGCACCAAGCAAATACAAAACAGAGGCAGGGTGTCACCTCTCTGGCCTACCTGGGTCCTCCGGGCCCCAGCCTGGCTCCCGATCCTAGAAGGGGCCCTTCTCAAGAGAAGACCTTGAGAGGCAAACACCAGGGTGCAGAGAGCCTTCAGGATGCACAGGCAGCAGGCGGCAAGCTGGTCCGACAGACGGCGTCCCGGATCTTTGGCCGAAACGGATGCTCCAGGGAGATCTGGGTGTGATACCCACTGTGTGGCACACCTGCGTGCGCACACACACACACACACACACACACACACACATGCACAGAAACACACCCTCGCGTGCAGACAGACGCTCAGAGAGAGGAGCAGGCAGAGGGAGGCTTCTGTTCATTCAGGGAATAATGTCCTCTCCTAAGATGCTCCCAACATCCCAGCACAATCCTCGGGGCTAAGCTCCCCAGCGGACCTCTGATCCTAGCCCTGCTGGAACCCACTGGAGGTAGGGAGGACCATCAGAGCTGGCAGCAGAGTGTGGGCTCAGCTAGTCTGCGGGACCGGAGGCTGCCGACACAGGAGCCATGGCAAACGGAAGCAAAGCAGGCAGGTGTGAGAGGCGGGGCCTGGGGTAAGACGGATGCTCTGGGTCCCCTCTGAAGGGACAGCATGACGTAACTCCAGCCCGGTGTTGCCAGACCTTCCGATTTAAAGCACTGTGTGGGCTAAACAAAGCACTTCTGTCGGTCAGCTTCCACCTAGCTCATGGCCTCAAGACTAGACGCTGTATCCCATCAGCAATCTTCCTCATCCCTCCCGCCTTCGCTGGCTCTGTGCCTGGTCCAGGGACCTCTGGAGGCTTAGGCAGGGGCCCTCTGTTCTGACCAAATATAGCCATGCTCCCTGGCCCCAGCCAACACATCCTCCTCCCTGATGGTTCCCATGCAGCTATAAAAAGTCAGCACTGCCCACAGACCGTCCCCTTAGGACAACAGCAGTGTCCAGACACAACATTCTCTCCCAGCCCAGCCTCCTCGCCAGGATGCCCAGGGTCCCCCTAGGTTGGGGTGGTCTGCCTTCAGCCCCCAGCTTGGATACCTCCACCCCCAGAGTGAGGAGCTGGAGCCAAACCTTCTAAGGAAAGAGCAGAGAAAACTTAGAGGGCTGCCTCTGTCCAAGGACCCCAGAATTGCATGTCCCACCCATCCATTCTGCTGCACCCTCTTCCTGCCAGTTTCCTCCAGCTCCAAGAAAGTCCCACTCAGGAGAAGATGCTAAGACCTAAGGGGTAGCCTGTCCTCCCAGGTGGACAAGCAAAGCAATCTCCCACATCTCACCCTGTCCTCATGCTCCTTCTCCTCAGATCTCCCCACACTGTGGGGCTGCAGTCTAGACTCTTGTCCAACTTCTAAGCTTCTTCCAGGCCTAGAGAGGAAGGAGCAATATTCTGGTTCCTCTAAGGGCAAGCAGCCACACAGACTGAGGTACGGGCCCTCAGTGGAAGGCCTGAGTCCAGGGAGTGCAATGAGGGTCACCCTGGGTCGTCCTAAAACTTGAGGGGTGATCAGGGTCCATTCTGGTTTGATGACTAAAAGAGGTTCAGAGCCTCAGCCACACCTACACAGGCTACAGGGACCTGGATAGAGCGAGGGCAGGACCAGAGAGACCTTCTGGACAGAGGGAGCCAGGGAGTCATCTGTGGTTAAGCCCCAGGAAACAATCTCAGGAGATATTTGCAGAGAATCAGCCTTTTTGTTTCTGGCTGACTCTCACTCACTTGGCTCAGATGAGCACACCCAGGAGGAGGAGGCAGCAGGTGGCAGGGAACTCAGAGAGCAGCTTGAGTGTAACTGGCTTTGGACTCAGACAGTCTTGGGGACAAATTCTGGCTCTGCCGCTTGCTCGCTGTGTGACCTTGGGCAGGTCACTTCACCTCTCTGGGCTCTGGTTTCCTTCTCTGTCCAGCGGGGGATGATCAGGGCCACTCACAGGATTCTGTGAGAGGCAAATGAGCCATTGCGCAGTGCCTAGAGCATGGCAGGAGCCGAATATGTGGAGTTGCCATGGTGATGACAATGATGATGACAACGATGATGACGATGATGATGATGATGCAACTTGAGAGATGCTGGGCGCCAGAAGGCATTTACTTCTGGCTGCAGAAGAAGTGGGAGAATATTTGCCAATCAGGAAAGAAGTGAGGAGGACAGAGAAAAATTTGTTCCCACGAAGCAAGAACCAGCGATGGCTGGGGAATTTCCACTGCATCTCTTGATCTTAACCCAGTCTGGCACCCAGTTGCCCCGGGAGGCTGCTGTTCTTCCCTGGCCAGTGATGGTACCTGACAGCCCGGTCCTGCCCAGCTCAGAGCCTGGAGGAGGCTGCCTCTCTCCATCACCAATTCCCGGTCACCACACAGGAAGCCAAGTGGGCAGTGGCCCATGGGCTGACAATGTTTCCTGGCACTAAGGGGGCATCTCCTGAGTGCGGCAGGGCAACAGGAAGAACCGGCATGCCTCCTGACCTAACAGCTTTCTAACAACACAAGGCAGCCAAGACGGTGCTCCTTCTCATCGAATGTATTCACTGAAGGAGGAGTTGAGTGAGGAAGCACTTGATGTAGTGGGAGAGGGCATTTCCCAGCGAGTGGGAATTTGGACTAAGATGACCTATAAGGTCAGGCTCATGAATCTATGAATAACATCTCTGACAGCAGGAGAAAGAGAGAGAGGCAAAATTAAAAACAAAACCCCAGCTCTGGATTCACACAGACCAGGGTTTACATCTCAGCCCTGCTCCCAGTCAGCTGTAGCATCTCAGGAACACTCTTATCTTTGAGTCTCATTCTTTTCTCTAGAAAATAGCCAAGAGAACCACTTGGTGGAAAACAGCAAATGAGATAATAGATGTTGGAGATCTTGTAGATATTCAGGAAAAAGCAATGTTTACTATTATTTTTTTTAAAAATGAAACTGAATGCAATATCTTTTATGATTTTTTGCCTTACTCCATGGACTCAAAACCTCTCCTATTTCCTTTTCCTCATCCCCCTTCTCAGAAAACCCAGAATGTAAAAATTATGATTATGATGCTATTAACACATATACCCAGTATATGTTAGCTGCCTGCATCCCAGGCAGCGATCCCAGCTCTTTCTTTAGGCCCCACAATCACCTCAGGAGGTAGATGTTAGTATTTCCACTTGATAGACAAAGGAACTGAGACCCAGCAGCGGTCAAATAACTTATCCAAGGTCACATGGCTATAAAGAGGAGACCTAAGAAGTCTGAGTCACGGGTTGGGTAGGACAGAAGGACAGCTTTTGTTCTTGAGTTCACCTCTCGAAGGTCTGGACAGAACTCAGGGAAAAGGCATTCACCCAATGGTCCTCTAGACTAATTCAGATCCATTTCTACTTCTCTGCAACAGTGTGGAGGCCACATCTGATGCAAAGAACTCTCCTTTAAGATGACAGATGACTGGGGGTGGGGGATGCACAGAAGAAACAGTCAACCCTCGGAAAGATCCAAGGAACAGCGAAGATTAAAAGGAATTTGATGTGAGCGGCTTAGCTAAATGAGGAAGATGAGCAGAAAAGCCTGAAATGTCCTAAATTGAGAGGCTGTCAAACTAACAGAGGGGGTAGGAAGGGGTTGGGGGTGGAGGAGCCATTAGCTAAACTGAGACCTTGGATAAGTCACTTAACCTGAGTGGCAATCAAGTTCCTTCTCTGGAAAATGAAAGAACTGGAGGAAACCATCCCTCATATTTCTTCTTCCTTTATGAAATATCTAAGAATTTCTTCTACGGCCTGACTACAGAGCGCCAGAAATACAGGCAGAGCCCACCGAAAGCAAGATCCTACAGACGTAAGTCCAGGCTCGCGGGAAAGATGCTCTGAAGGTGATCATTTGCTCTCCAAGAGGGATTCTTGCAAAAGAATATTATCCCGGTGTATGAGCAATGCATCCACCACAGAACGCAATTGACAGACACCTTTGCTGTATACTCCATTTCTCTATGGAAACAACCCTGGGGCCCTGAGCCAGACTGGTCCTATTTGTGAGTCTCTGACCTGACTCAAGAATTCGCAAGGGTAGACAGGGATGTCCGGCTTGTTTCCTCTCAGTAACAATGGGATCTACTTTAAAACCCACAACTCTGAAGACCTTAGAGACCACGGGAGAGGGTCAGAGTCCCTCAGAGGAGATGAACGAACCCTTCCTCTACCTCTGGGAAAGAACCACCAGCAAAGTCCAGCTTAACCATCTTCTCATCCTGCTTATCCCAAGGCAGTCTGTCCATGCACATGGTAAGGACCCTACATGATTTCTTTCCTAAATCTTATGCAAATTCCCAAACATGGGCCCCCATTCAGCTCTAAATCCCAACTTCAGCTTAGAGCCCCGGGACACAGACAACTGTGATAGGAGGGAATGCAGAGGCAGGAACAGGGAAGCGGCCCTAGACAAAACCCGCAGGAAGGGAAGCGAGCTTCAAACGTCCACCCTCTCTGCCCCCAGCCTCTGGAACAGATGGCAGGATGCCCCAATCTCCCACCCCAGGTGTTAAGAACTCCAGAAACATACCTTCCTTGAGAGATTTCTCAGTGGAGACTTGACACAGTTGCCCATCCTAAGCTGAGGCAGCCCCTTTCAGGATCCCTGGGTCCATGAAGGAGGCTCCCGGGGGCTAAGAGACCTGAGTCCCGGTCCCGCCAACCCCAGCCTCCCTCTGCCTGCGCGGTGCTTCCTCCAAGACCGGCTGAGCCCAATCTCCTGCGCGCGTGCTCTCTTACTCGTCTGCCTGTTCCTGCTCCCTGGTGTTTTTTTTTTTTTTTTGGTGGATTGTATGTGTGTTCGTGTGTGTGGGTTTAACTTTCTGGACACTTTCTTAAGGAGATGAAGGCAGGAGGGGAGAGTGCAGGCACAGAGAAAATCGCCTGGAGAGATGATGGCAGAGGGCAGCCGAGCTGGAGAAGGCTGCGGGATCAGCTACATGAGATTACAGCCGAGTCCTCTCCCGGTTCACTCCCCTTCCCTCGGCCCCTCCCCTCCCGCTGTCAAATCTGCAGGGAGACTGCCTCGGGGAGGGGAGCCCAGAATGGCAGCTGCAGCTGGGAATTAGGCCAGCAGACCCAGAAGGGGAAGCAGGCTAGTTTGGGCCCCCAAATCCACGGGGCCTCGCAGCTCCCAACCTTGTATGTGCATTCTCTCTCTCACACACACACACATACACACACGCACCCAGGAACGAACGGGCATCTTAATCGCCCCCGGCCATCGCAGCTAGATCGAGATGGCGGCTCCAGTCGAGGCCCTGGAGATCTTGTGACGACTCTCCATCACGCTCCATTTTTCACACTTGCCTCCTCACTGAAATGGGATGAGACTCCGGGGCTGGAAGCACAGCTGAGCCTACAGCAGCTTCTTCCGCTGGCTCCCTTCACCGTGTGCGGTCTTTCCGACCCAGGGGAAATCAAGAGCCGGCCCTGAGGGGGTCCTGACGGAGGCAGTGCTGGCCCAGCAGGCATGAGCGAGCGAGGGCGACGAACCTTCTCCCAAACCCTCTGCCTGACCCTGATAGAGCATCTTCCACCGGCTCCCTCGGGGCGCAGAGCAGAGAGGCTGCCCTTTGCAAAGGGGGCGTCACGGTCCCATGAATGGAACTTTTTAGGTAGCCCGCACGTCCTCGTCCCTTCGGGTTCCAGCTTTGATGTGAATTCATTTCAAGCCTCAGATGTCACCATCGAGACCTACAGCCCGGAGCCAGATGACCCAGGAGAGTCTGTATCCGCGTTTCCCTGCACCCCTACTTTTCCCAGCAGGGGGCACCAGAGACAGACTGGGACGCCAAGCTCCTTCCGGGCCCTGATGCAAAAACCCATCCGCGCACCGCTGTTAAGAGTTTCAGTCCAGAGAGGGTCCTTTCGCAGGAATTTTTTTTTTTTGGTCCAGTTTTGGGTGGCTGAGCAGAGCTCCCGTTAGGGATAGATGGGTGGGGACGCTGCCCAGAAGGAGCCACAGACCGGCTCCCAGGGAACTGGGGAGGCAGGTCCCTGGGTGGCTCTTGACCACCGTGCAGCGACGGCAATGGAATAGCTTGATCAGGGGAGTCACCGGGCAGCCTAGTTTGGCCTCGGAAGGGGATGCGGAGGAGGAGCGTCACCCCCTGAGGACACAGAGAGGCCTGGGTGGGGGCGAGGCTGTTGACATCTAAAGGGCAGGAAAGGGGAGTGAAGACACTTGGAGGGGGGTGGGGGGAGCTGGTATGGGAAGAGCCAACAAAAATGCCTTCTTCAAAAACCTGTTTCTTGGAAACAAAGCGTGAGGGCAGGGCTGTGAGAAGAGCGATGAACTCAGATGACACTGAAGGGTCTGGAGGCCTGGGATGAGTCCTGGCTCTGCTGGCTTCTGAGCACTCACCTGGCAGGGCTCAGCTCCCTCGCCTGGTTATAAAATGTGCGTGATTCAGAACAGGTACTGGAATGAGGAATTATTAACATGGAAGGAGGAAGTATCATTTGTCCCATGTGCTTGGCTCTGGGAATGTTGTAGGAACAAAATACACACAGTCTCTGCTTTTAGATTTGATCCCTGGGTCAGGAAGATCCCCTGGAGAAGTGAATGGCAACTCACTCCAGTATTCTCGCCTGGAGAATTCCATGGACAGAGCAGCGTGGAGGGTTAGTCTGTGGGGTCACAAAGAGTCGGACATGACTGAGCAACTAACACTTTCACTTTCACTGCTTGCAGGGAGCTTACATTCTAGCAGGAGGGCAGGAGATATTAAAGAGCTATCAAATTACTGAATCACGGTTCAGGTCAATGCCATGAAGGGGAAACACAAACACTCTGAGAAAGTGAGCCAGAGGGATCTGACTTAGTGTAGAGGGATCAGGAAAGACTTGCACACAGAATCTAGAGTCTTGCAGACTCTTTTGAAAAGCTAGGGCTTACCACAGACCCCAGAGGGGAGATGAATTAGGCTCCAGGTAAGGTACAAACCCAATTCATATGAGCTAAATGGGTGGATATACGAAAAGACTGGACAGGGTGAAGCGGGCGGGTTTTCAGTGCTGGCTGCAGACTAGAATCACTGGGAACTTCCCTAAAGATGCTGATGGAATAGGTGTAGGTGAACCCCGGGCACCGGTGTTGTTTAATACTCCAGGTAATTTTAACCTGCAGCCAGGGTTGAGAACCACTGATCTAGAGATAAAGAGTTCAGCATGTGGAGTCGGACAGACCTGAGTTCAAATCTCGCCCTGCTGCCTACCAACCATGTGAGCTTGAGGACTTGTTCATCTTTCTGAGCCTCGGTTTCTTTATTTATAAAACGGCTACCCTAATAACCCTTCCCTGGTAGGGCTTATGATGAGTTAATGAGATCATGCCTGCAAAGGGCTTGGCACAGTGCCAAGCACCTGGACCGTGCCGCTTATCTTGCCCAGCGGCCTTGGTCTAGCAGGGCCCCCACTAGGTCAGACCTGGTGACTCCTGCCCCCTGCAGGCCAGCCTATGGCACAGCACCCATTTGTCAACCTTGGGATATGCCCCTGTCCTTGGAGACAGGAGACAGGACTTTTCCCCCTATGGAAAAGTCCACCTACTTTGAAGAAATTCCATCCTTCTTTAGCAGAGAGGGTGCCAACAGTAGCCTGGGGGCTTAACGGAAGCAAGGGACTCAGGATTCAAACCCAGAGCTCGCTTAAGCTATTTTAGGTTGGACAGATGGGGTGATGGTGGTTCTGCATGACAGGAGTAGCTACTGATCTTGACGAAGCAGATGGCTTGACCTTCGGCAGAAAATTTTATAAAGGGCTGAACGGTGAAGGCTTCCTTAAGAAGCAAAGCACATCGCACGGCCCCGCCTCCCCATCCCTATGCACTGTCGCAGCAGGCCTGGGCCTTCAGAATCCACACTTAGAGTTCTGGAATGGGATAATAGGATCAGAGGGATGAGAAGGATAAACCCGTTGCTGATTATTCCTGATTAGGAGGGAGGCTGGCTTTGGGCCCTGAGCAGTCCTAACGCCAGAATTTGAACTTGGATGGCAGCCCAGTGTTAAGACACTTGGGGAAAGCTGGGTCGTAACCTGAGAGGTGCTTTGTGGATGCTTCTGACAAATAGGAAGCACACTTCTGTGACTTTCTACCAACTGGTATGGTGTGGCACTGGCAGACTGTTTGGAGAGAGACATAGCACGTCACAGTCCTGCCTTTTACTTATTCTGGGACCTTTGGTCAAGCTACTTCCCCTCTCTTGAGCCTGTCTCTTCATCTCTAAAATGGGGGAAGATGATGCTACATTTCACAGTTTGCTATGAAGATAAGATAATGAGAAGATGCTTTGTCCATTGTTTACTGGATTCTAGACAGAGATCTAAAGTGCCAATGTTGCTTCTGCAAAACCTACAAACTGACACCAAGACACTGCTATCATCTATAATCTATGTCAACCACAAACAGGCCTTCTCTTCCCCTTTCCCAGGCCCCAGAGAAAGGCCACAGGGGCTCCCAGCTTTTTAAGAGAGCAGTAGGAAGCGACCTGACCAGGAAGGAGTAAGTAATACACCCAAGCCATCATCCTAGGCACACAGGCCTAGTGCAGTTGAATCTGTTAGGACCCAAATTGTCATGGCCTGTCTCCCTCATCTTAACTATGGGAACTAAGAAACTCTGAAGTCCAGAGGCTGGAGATACCCATCATTCATTCATTCATACATTAAATATCTCAATCCTGTTACACACAAAGCAATTTAGGAATTGGGCTGGCCTACTCAAATCAAAAGAGATGTCCCTATAGTTAGAGAAAGGGGAAGGATGGAACAGAGCTATGTATTTTATTCATAGTTGCCTCCTCTAAAGAGGTGTTTCTTCCCAAACTTAGAATAAGGAACAGAAAGACTGTTCTTTGGGCAGTTTTCTGGACTACTCTGATGGTTCAGTGGTTAAGACTGTGTGCTTCCTATTTCAGGGGGTGCAGGTTCAATCCCTGGTGAGGAAACTAAAATCTCACATCCTGCACAGCCAAAAAAAAATTTTTAATTAGTTTTCCAAGATCCAATGCCAAGAGTTGTCTGTTTTGAGTTGCTTTCTGATACCACATCTTCTCTCTAGGCAGTTGGGTGGTGTGCTATTAGCCGGCCACAAAGAGGATACCAGGGAAGGTCCTTGGTCATTCAGCAACTTCCTTTAGTGGCCTTCCTCACTTAGCTCAAAGACAGCTTTCAGACTACCTTATGCAGGCCCTCATTTTGACAATCACTCTATTAATAATAATAATAATAACAATAACATGAATGAAGCCTGAGCCCTTTTCTAGCACCCACTCTGAGCCAGGCAATTTGGCATCCTTAACCTTGTATAACCCTCATAAGAGTTCTGCGAGGTAGTTTTTTTGTTGTTGTTATTAGTCTTATTTCTGGATGAAGAAACCCAGACCAGAGAGAGAAAATAACAGGCCCAAGGTCACAGCAATGGGAAGTGACATTGCTGGAGTAGGAATCTTCAGCTCTGTCTCCCAACCCACCATTCCATGCCTTAGCCTCAAAAGCACACGCTCTCCCTGCAGGCCGTAAGGATGCTCTGTGAGGTCACTGGGAGAACCCTAATTCCCGTTCCCTAGTGAGGGAGTCTATCTTGATACCGTCAGTGTCCCTTTGGCCCCTGGCCCTCCCTGACTCTGTTACAAATGGAAACAAGTTCTGACAGCCCGTGGTAGTGAAGCAACAACAACAACGACGATAATAATAACACCCACAGACCCTTGCTGTAGGTCAAGCTCTGTGTATATCTTCACATCCCCTTTAATCCCCCCCAAACCCATTGAGATACTCTGTGTGTGTGTGTGTGTGCATGCGCATGTGTGTGCACGCGCGCGCTCAGTCGTGTCTGACTCTTTGGAACCCTATGGATTGTAACCTGCCAGACTCCTCTGTTCATGGAATTTTCCAGGCAAGAATACTGGAGTAGGTTGTCATTTCCTTCTCCAGGGGATCTTCCTGCCCCAGAGATTGAACCCAAGTCTCCTGCATTGGCAGGCAGGTTCTTTACCACCGCACCACCTGAGATACTATGATTATCCCAAATATGCAGATAAGGAAACACAGGTTTATGAGATTAAGCGATTCACCAAAGGTTAAAAAAAAGAAAAGAACTTGGGAGACATGAAAAATATATTTCCCCAGGGCTATACTTTGCCCAAAGCAGAGCCTATCTGAAAGTTTCTATATTCAGAACCTCATTCCCCCTCTCTTGGTTCTGACCTAAGGACAGAAACCTCCATGCGGAGAGAAGGGACAGAAAGACTAGTTCTTGCAGGAGACTGGAGACTCTGACACAAAGTCCCAGGCCAGGTTTTGTTGTTGTCCCTGTCGTTGGAGCAGATGTCTTAGAGCCATCAGCAGGAAGCCCAGACTGGATGCGCCCAGCTTTAAAGAGAAAGTCGGCAGTTCCAAAGGCAAGAGCTTCCAGGGGAAGGTAGTAAATATTTGATGGGACCTTCCAGCTCCTCCTGACTCAGGTGACCCTGGTGACATTTCAGAACACTGGACTGGAGAACAGCCTTCATCTCATGACTGAGAAAGTAGAAGAGAGAGAAGCACGTGAACTGAAATGCTCTGTGCTCACAAAGGGCCCAGGCAGGCAAATTCTGCAAGGCTGGAAAGAAAGGGCTCCTTTTCTAGGAACGAAGTTGGATCACTGGCAAACTAAATAACCAGAAAGTGTGTGATCCTCAATGACCTACCCTTCCAAACTTCTAGACTGCTAATCTCCAAAACAGTCAGGACCCCACTACCCTCTCTACTTTCATCTCCATAGTGCCCAGCAAATGCCTGGACAAAGCAGGCGATCAAAAAAATTTGATAAATGCAACCGATAGTTGTCATCGATTCAACTGGCACGGTATCCCTTTCGCAAGCCAGCCCACTCCTGCCCTAACACCTGACACCCCCTCAGTCATACAAAAGCCACCGCAGTCAGCACAGCGCTGCACTGTCACAGCTCTGCATCCACATCTCTACTCTGAAGAAACTGTTTCCAACTGCCTCAACTAACGAGAGCTCCCGGCAGGAACAAAGCCAGACTGCTGCCCTATCACACCACCACCGCAGCCCCGTGCAACCCGAGCCTACGTGCAGCCGCCTTCATGTCAGACCTCCACCGGCATCAGCCGCAGTGGAGTAGTATTTTGAAAAGGAACTGTGCACATCTGAAGCAAAACACACACGGCCTCCTTGGAGTTCTGATCCAGCCTGGCAAACCAGGAGCTTGAAACAGCTTCTTTACGCTACATCCCAGCACAGAAATGCACAGGCCCGCCCCCACCCTCCATCCCCCACACACCATGCAAATACTCTGATCACATCTATGCATTACACCCCTCCTCGGCTGTCGCAGAACAGTGTCCACACTGTGCCAATGAGTTCGACTTAATTATGGACTTGGAACTAGATGAAATCCTGGCTTCGCTCAGGAGTTCACAGGTCCCTTTCTGCTGAGCCTCTCTCCCCAGCAGCACGGCATCAAACTGTAGATCTGGATTATGACTACGGGGCCATTTGTAAAGGGCAGGTGCCCAGCTGCTTGGGGCTCTTGAGAGAAAAGAAACAAAATGAGCCATTCGTGACCCCTTACCACCTTTCTGACCCTAGAATGCACACTAACTCAGACTAGGGATCTCTGGGTGCTCTTCCACGCCCCACAACTCGAAAACTGACCACTGCCATCCTCGTGGCATTCCTAGATGATAACCTCCTTGAAATACCCTCAAAGTTCCAGTTTGAGCCATAGCTCTTACAGCCCTCCGTGTCTACCCACACACTCCTCTTTTCTCATATTTTTAGCTCTCCTAACTTTTCCCAGGTCTTTGGGGCCATCACAGGCGATGGCTAGGGTCCCTCATCGCCTGACAAGGCAGTATAACCCTGGATCACTGGCAAACTAAATAACCAGAAAGTGTGTGATCCTCAATGACCTACCCTTCCAAACTTCTAGACTGCTAATCTCCAAAACAGTCAGGACCCCACTACCCTCTCTACTTTCATCTCCATAGTGCCCAGCAAACGCCTGGACAAAGCAGGCGATCAAAAAAATTTGATAAATGCAACCGATAGTTGTCATCGATTCAACTGGCACGGTATCCCTTTCGCAAGCCAGCCCACTCCTGCCCTAACACCTGACACCCCCTCAGTCATACAAAAGCCACCGCAGTCAGCACAGCGCTGCACTGTCACAGCT